AAGTCCCCGAGGCTCTGGGTCAGCTCAGCTACCCCTCTCCACAGCATGAGCGTTCAAAGTCACGCCGGCAATCAGTGCCGGAAGAGCACTTCCGGGTCGAAAGACGCGGAGGAGGGAAGAGGAGGAAAAATGATGAGAAGCTTCCGGTTCTCCGAGCGGAGCAGCAGCCGCCGCCGCCCGGGCGCCCTCTCCCGACTTGGAAGAGAAACTGCAGCCGCTTTGTGGCGCTAATCCAGCTTTTGCAAACTCCCAGAAAGATGCAGCCATTAAACGCTGATTTTTTTTTGCAGATATAACAATGTGGAGAAATGTTTACAACAGAATTTAAATTAAAAAACCCTCAAAATTGTTATCTATACTGTTACTAGTATAAACAATATCTGTAGGGCATGACATGAAAAGAACGTGGAAAAGTAATGAACTAGCAATTGTCATTGCTCGATGTTAAACATTATATGTCCAGTCCATATGGAGGACAGAATCCTTAATGATTCCACTTAGATCTCTTAGAGACATCTCACACTTAGTATCTCCAAAAAGGAGCTTCTGATCTTCCTCCCAGATCTTTTCCCAGTCTTCATTGCATAAATGGGAACTCTATTCTTTGAGTTGCCCATACCAAAAATGTTAGTCATTTAGCCACCGCTTTTTGACACCGCTTATCTGTCAACATATGCTTTGGCACTACCTTCAAAAATAGATTCAGAACCTGCCCCTTTTCTCCATCTCAAGCACTGCCATCTTAACAGCATTACTGTTAATAGCCCCTGCTGCTGTTCAGTCTATTCTCAACCCAGTAACTAGAGGGTCCTTTTAAGCCAGATCATGTCTTTTCTCTGCTGAAAACACACCTTCCAGTGAATTCATCGTTGATTTTATCTCTACTTTTGTCTAAGTTTGAAATTTTTCATAACTAAAATTTTTAAAACTCTGAAATGGCCTCTCTGCTCTCAGAGGAAGTTCCTACAAGACTCTGCTTGAACAGCTAAGCCAAAGTCGCTCACCTTCCCTTGCCCTTTTCTCCAGCCACATTGAGATGACCAGCCTTTGCTCTTCCCCAGACACCTGCGTGGCTTTCTCCCTTACTTTCTTCTCTCTGTTCAAAAAGCCTCTATCAGTGAGGTGTTCCCTGCTCAAGTCTTCTAAAAAAGCAAGCTCCTCCCCACTTTCTATCTTCTCATGCTGCTTAGTTTTCCTTCAGAGCACTTCTTAAATGTATCCAGATATTTTACGTACCAGTTTATTGTCTGACTCCCAATGAGAATATCAGTTCCATAAGGACAATGATATGGTTTTGTTAATTGCTGTATCTCCTTGCATGTGCTAGGTGCTCAATAAATATTTCTTAAATGAATAAATAAGGTCAAATAAATAGAAATCTGAAAATTACAAGTGGCAAGAAAAATCAGAGACTCAATGATGAATTTCAAATTTACTTTTTGTATATCATTCATGTATTAATTTGCAACAAAGGATTTGTAAGCCACGTTGATGAATAAATTAGTTAATGTTGAATATACTTTTAAGTAAACTTTTTCATTTATAGACTTTAAAATTTTATTTTTATAAACTTTTATGCATATTTGTCTAAAATATAAACACATAATTATGTAAAAGGTAATAAAATTAAGGTTTTTAAGATATAATTGTTAAATAAAGCAATGTATCTATTACACTGAAATTACCACTTTAACAAAGTTTCCTTAAGTAAAAATTCATACTCATTATTGTATGCATGTATATATATTCATATTTTCTGTAATTATTATAATGAATATGTCATTTTTATTAATGCCACTTTTAACCAAAGTAATCAACTTGTGTTTTCGCCACAGAGAAAACTGGAAGACAAAAAGCCAAGCATTGTCTAGCTCGATTTTTATGGGTACATATTACAGATTATCTGTTGTTTTAAATTGGCAAAATACACATATATAATATCATCCAAAGCTTTTGCACATTCTGTTAATTCAGTCATTTTATAATGTATAAAAATAAAGATAAATTAAAACTATCTTTAGTAAGATTTGTATCATTTCTACTTAGAAATTGTCCAAGTATCCAAGGACTAATTTTAGATTTTCTAAGGTTTTGAAAAGTTAAGGATGTGAAAAATTAAAATTTTAGCTAATACGTTGTCCTTATAATTGTTATAATAATTTTGTAAGATCAAACCCCTTTAAAAAACAGCTATATTACAATTTTATTTGGATAAACACCATTTTATATTTTGCAATCTTACACAATTGGTGGAGTCAGTAACTTATTTGATCCATAAGATCAATATAGGAAATTTAGGAAGCTGAAATCATGAGTTCAACCTCAGTTTTATACAAACTAGAATATTTTATTAACATTGAATTTATATAATTGAAACCTGGAAAAAGACATGTAGTTGACTTTAAACATTCATTCATTACTTTGCCTAAGTCCATCACTTATCAGAGATATTTAATAAAGCTTTTTAAAAAATATACTTTATACCCTTATATTCATAATTAAATTATATTTAAAAGTTCCTACTATTGTTAAACCTTTCTTCTTATAACCATAACAAAGGCTATTATTTAATTTCACTTGTCCACACTTTATGCAAAAGAAGTACAAATAATTTGACTTTTTTATTGCAGACTCTCCGGACTGTTTATTTAGACTGATATTTCTAGATTGCACATAACAGAATTTTTTTCTGAATTTATCTTTAAAATTTTTCAAAGGGAGGGAACTATAGGAACAGGAAAAAAGGTGAGCTAGAACAAGCTTTATACTGTTAAAAGATAAATTGAAGCATATTAAATAATGTGAGTTAGAGCAAAATCAATTCAGTGGTTAGGAGGGTTCCACCAATGGGAACTAGGGAAGACTTTTACAGAGAAGAGGCAGAAGCAAAGCAAGGAAATTCTTTAATTAGCTAAAGCTTAAGCAACTGCCTTACTTGGGAAAGCCTAATTCACTATTTGTGATTGAGTATCTTCGGGTTTTAATTTCTTAACCTTGAGGCATTATGGGCTCAGATTTTGATTTGCTCACAGGGGCTTCTAGAACATTAAAGTCACCTCAATCTAATGGCCTTCTTGTTTAATTAATTTAATAATACAAATATGAACATATTCTTGTAAAAGTCTAATTATCCTTCAAGGAGAGAGGAGTTTAAATATAAACCAAATAGTTAAATAGCCCTAAAACATGGAAACATAAACAAAGTGGGCTCTTTAGATAAATAATACAAAGGCTCTCTTCCTGAGATTTTGTTTGCTGGGTTTTTTTTTTTTTTTGGTATTGTGTTCTAAGATGCCTCTCAAGTGAAAGTACTCTTCAACAAGTCCCAAAGCAGTCACTATGATTTCTTGCTAAAGTTAAGCCAGGAGGTGGTACAAATCTATTAGCTGACAAATTCATGAAAAATTGCCTGATGTTTTGTGAAATGTTATACATTGCAGCATTCGTCTCAGGCTGACTACTGACTTAAGAAACATATGGTTAGAAAGCAACATGAGTGGGTAGAAGGTCTCTTCCAAAGCAAACTTCTCATACAAAGACAGGACTAAGGAGAGTTTTCACGTACAAATAATCTGAGATAGAATATGAGATGGTGTTTAAAGCCAAATGCGCCAGAGGACACAAGTCTGATCAGAACCCCGAAACCACAAGAGATAATAATAAGCATTACATTAGGGCCAAAGAGGTCATCAAAATGCAGATTTACTGCAAAATTCATGTAATCAGGGATAGAGGAGCCTCAAGAAGATTCGAATATGTACATTATTGCCAAATTTAAGGTGCTATTCATTGCAGTAAGAGTCTAGGTCGAGCCTCAGTAGAATCTCCAAATTGTCCTGGCCTGATCAGTCTAAGATTGCTGTCTTAGTTCATTCAGGCTGCTATAACTAAAATATCATAGACCAGGTGATTTATAAACAATAGAAATTTATTTCACATAGTTCTAGGGGTTAAAGTCTAAGAGCAAGGTGCCAGGAGATTTAGTGTCTAGTGAGACGCACTTCCTGGTTCGAAGGCAGCCAACTTCACTCAATCTTCACATGGAAGAAAGGGCAAGGAAGCTCTCTGGGGTCTCTTTTATAAAGGCACAATCCTATTCGTGAGGGCTCTACCGTCATGACCTAATCACTTCCCAAAGCTGTCACCTCCAAATACTATCACACTGGCACATGCAGGGCATCATCTGACTCCAATGCGCTCCTGCCACTGCCCTGTGACAATAAAGGACAGAGCAAAGAAAACCTATCCCTGAGACTGCCAGCACCAGGAAACTCTCTCAGGTGGCAAGGAGCCTAAGTATGTAACCTGGTCTTATTGTCAAGGCCACATTCACCAAATTGTTAATACCCTTACATTCCCCAAAGACCAAGGGTTCCAGAAAAATCAATGGTTTTCCATAAAGAAAAAATAATTATATGAACTACAAGCTACACAGAGACTTCTTTTTAATACTGTTTGACTTCAGCATTATGTTAAAAATAAATTCTGGAAAGAAGTTAATTTCAGTATGATATGAACATAAAAAATTGACATTTAATCTCTGTATGTCAAGTGACCCCTTAGGAAGCACTGTGAGATAAGAAGCAATTATATATGTGTGTAACTTAATTCAGTTTTTTATTTTATGGTAGACAAATTGGGAGGAAAAAAGTATTCATGAAATCTCTAAGTGCTATATGATGCACTGAAATTATACTGTTTTAAGTATAATTATTAAAGTGTTTTCATACATGAATATAACAATACAAGTTAGTGTCATGGTTTAGGCAAAAAGAGAATAATTACAGTGTTTACTCTTGGAATCCCACTCTATCAAGTGAATTTATACTAAGGTGTTCTTTAAAATTTATGCCTTATGACAATTTCCCAATATGTAGTAATGTTATTAATACACTAAAGTATGCATAAAAGTTTTAACATCTTTAACTAATACATGCTCAATTTCTGTTATAAAAATTACTTGAAACATAGGAATCTTATTTTAGTGACTAAAGGCATGAAACACTGACTAGTAAAATTAATAAGATATGATATAGAAAATTAGAAGAGGATAAGCATGATGACATAATTCTACTTCCAAGTTAAAAAAGAAAGACGTTAGGATTAAAGAGTGATAGTAGATTTTCTCTTTTTTTTTCCCCTTGAAACAACAAAGACTTGAGTGAAGATTTTATATTCTAATAAACTTCAAATCTAACTCTTGTAAAAACAGATTAATGCTTGAATTCTAGAATAAAAATACTTGAGCTGATTTTTTAAATGGAATAATTAAAAAGAGAACAATAGAATTATTAAGTACCTTGCTCACACACACACATCATCTGTCTAAGAAATTTTGAGACAATCACTCATTCAGGTTTGCAGAATACCAAATGCATTTTTCTAAATGTCACAAAAAGCCTGAGCAGAGTTTCTCCAAGGACACTCCCAACTTTAGAATGTTAACCAAGGAGATAGATGAAGCTATTTGTGGGAAAGGAGAGCAGAAATACACTACTTTAAGAAATTAAAGAGAAAGGTCAACGTAAAGTCTGTAAATGTTAAGAATGTATATAGAACAAAAAAGAACAAACTGTATAAAGAAACTATAAGAAAACTCATGTATTTTAACAATTTAAAATCTTTCTTTGATAATGAACCACTCGATTGTCCTTTTTTCATCAAAACAATTTCTCATACAACAGTGCAGTATAATTTTGCTTTATTTTTTAAAGATCAAGCTAGCTGGTCGCATAACACATTATAAAATTTGAACTAAGTAATTTCAACCTTTATTAACATGACTTTAGTGTAGCATTAGTAAAAATTGAGACTATCGTTTAACATTTCACTTTCTTATAACTATATAAGATGTAACTAGCTCCACATTCAATCTTGAATATGTGAAAGTATACATAGCCAATAGGAAAATCACTGAGAAAGCAGAGTTTGATAGGATGTTTAATAAGTTTGTCACATTGTCAAAAATCAAAATTTTATTCCTAAAGGTGGGACAATGTAAAGCTAGCACTTCCAAGAACATTGAGATATCAGAAAAAAGTTGCTAAGTACAGTATTGATTTAACAAGATATTGGTCTTATGTGTATTACCCAGCACCATTACTTTCTCTATTAAAACAACCAAAACTAAACATATCAAATGCAAGGCTATTTATTTTTTGTTGATTTTCACAGGCGATCCTTTGATGTTGAGTTTGTCCCCAAAAACATTTGATCTTCTTCCATGTTCAATGGCTGGACTTTGATGATGTTTCTCCCTGAGAAATATACATATAAACATCAATATCGTTCTTTAAATGGCCAATGGTTTTTAAATCAATACGAACATGTTAAAAACCACTGTAATTTAAGGAAAGTTTTAACAGTTCCTTCATAGTTTTGAAAAACATATGGCAGACTATTTCATTTAACATTTAAGGGAGCAACAGTTGCTTTCCTGAAACAGACTTAAATCTGTTTACAGAATCTGTTCACAGTTTAACTGGGCTGTCCAACATGGTCGCCATGAGCAATATCATTTATATTTAAATAAAATAAAAGATTTTAAATTCAGTTCCTTAGCCACATTGACCACATTTTAAGTGTGATTCAATAGCTACGTGTGGCTAGTGGCTACATTTTGGACAGCACAGATAGATAACGCTTTCATCATTGCAGAAAATCACTTCAGAAGGTTCTATTGCGCAGTGCCAGTTTACAGAAAATGCCCCTGATAACACCACAGGTTTATAGATCTTCTATAATGAATATGCTTTCTTTAACCGGGACCTGGATTTCATAGGCAAACTTACCATTGTTAGTTTTTTATCAATAAACTTTTCAAAGTGAGACAAATATCTAAAATTAATATGGGAATACATTTTCTACAGAAAGATTAGGGCTCTAAATTCCTAAAAAAGTATTTTAAAATAAAAAATGCTAACACATGAAATTCCGCACAAGGCTTCTGATTAACCTGATACCCACTTCTCCACTGCTGGTTCTGTGAAGCCTTCCACCTTCTACAGCAGTCTTTTACTTTTACAGCCCAGAACAGATTTGTTTTAAAACTTTTTGAGGCCTCTCTCTCTCTCTCTCTTTTTCTCTCTCTCCCGTGTAATTTCAATAGGAATTAGGTATTGTTCTCAATGTTTTTTCAGAGAGAAACAAATCAAATTTAACTCTAGAATATATACTAAATGCATAAAAATCTCTATAATCTTTAAGGTGCAGTGTCAGCACATTTATATTTCACAGCTATTCCAAAAGGTAATTCCAAAGGAGGCTAAGTTTTTGCAAAATTTTCCCCCAAATATCTAATACAGATATTGTTACATATTATACAAGTGTCTAAAAATGCATTTACCATTAAATGCTGATTTTTGACTTATTAGGGAAGTTTTGTTAAGCTTTTCAAATAGAGACCCTTTCCCTTTATCAGACCTCTAGATACCAATATCTTTACCTGATATAAAATGTATAACTCCTACAATAACCAGATTAAAATCTTTTTTCCTCAGGATTTTAGCTCCTAAGTTCTGAAACATAATTTGTTAGTGAGCTGCTAATCATATAATCTTAAAATATTGTTTGTTTTCAGATACAAAATTAAATTTGTGTGGAATCTCAGATATAATGTAAAATTACAACTTTTGCAAAAGATATTCTTGATATAAACAATTTGGATGTTAATCAGAACTTCTTGATAACAGAGGTAAAATTATGTAATTTTTTGTCTAGCTCTTCTTTTAAAAATACAATTTATTTTAGAAATAACTTTTACCTTCTTTTAAGTTCTCGGGATCCAGATCCTGAATTCTCATGACCAACACTCCGCATTTTAGCATTTTCTAGATTGCGCCATTGTCCCCATGGTTTGTACTTCAAAACCTCATTTTGCCATTCATCATCAAAAGCATGAGCATCACCTACATTAAATATCAAAATAAAGGTAAGTATTAAGGTATCAACTGTCAGTAAATGCCTTGCTCCCCACACACTTCATTTTAGCCTGATGTTACCATCAGCCTAAACTCAAGACAGAGGCAGGACCATACTCAAATATTATTTCTCAGACTGGGGAGGTGCCTACACCTGTACTGTCCAGTATGGTAGCCGCTAGCCATATGTGGTTATTGAGCACTTGAAATATAAGTTATCTAAATGCAGTGTGAAAAATAAAGCATAAAATAGTTCATCAATCATATTTATATATGATTACATGTTGATGTAATATTTCAGATGTATAAGTTAAATAAAACATTATTAAAATAAGAAAAATAGAGGCAGAAACCTGCTTCAAGTATAAAGGTCTCTGACTCAGGGTAATATGTCCTTTTCTTGTTTGTTCCTCTCATATTCTTATTGATAATTTGGCTGTTGATGATCTGGTGTTTCATGCACCTGCTTGGATATCATATTATTATATCCAATGGACCCCCTGGCCCAATTACTCTGACTTATAGCCTTTCTTCCTACGTCCTCTCATAGTGATCATCCTTTCCCTCTGTAGATGGACACTCCTTCTGTGTCCATTATTAGTAAGTGGCTAGTACTTCCTAATAATTTCACCATTTTCCTTTGTAACTTGGCCTCAACTTCCTAAGACAGGTTACTCATCTCAACAGTCAATTTATGTTGTTATGAAGTAGGTAATCTGACTTCCATAATAACAACAGATAAATGATAATACTTGTTCTCTCAGATTGCCTTTATAATGTATTCCTTCACTAAATTTTTCAACAGGTTAATTATTGTGAAGTACTCTCTCTGTATTTAAATATGAGAAAATTAAAAAGGTTAAAATTAAAGAAAGGTTAAGTTGTTGTGGCTTCCATCTCATTGCATAAGAATAATTTTATTGAACTCCAAACTTAAGAGAATTTCTTTTTCTAAAATGATACAATAATTTAAACGCTTTATGATGATAACACATTTTTATTCAAAATGCTTCTGAAAACAGGAGATGAATATAACTTAAAACTACAACGAGAAGAGCTAGGATACTGAAAGTAAATATATGTACCGAAGAATAAATAATAAATCTAGAAAAGGAACAGATTTACTTGATACATACATGACGTATTATATATCATATATAATATATACTTCTAACAATGCCAGAAATTAAAATCTTATCTATATAAATAAAGCCTAAGTGCTCAACAATACAGACTGTTTAAATAAATTTTGGCCTATCCATGATAAAACTTTTAGATAAACTTTAGAATTTTTTTGAAAAATATCATAGGTAACTGTTCACAATTATAACGATGAATTAAAATAAGCACAATATAAATTATATAGATAGTAAAATACTGATTTTGCAAAAGTATGTGTGTTTGTATATATAAAACCACTAGGAAGAAATACACTAAAACATTAATAGTAGTTATTTTGGGTTGAGATTATAGATAATTTTAATTTTCTTTATACTTCTTTATACTTTTCAAATGTATTTCTTTGATAATCAGAAATATTTAAAACTCATTGTGCCTAATGAGTCTTACTAAGTAACAATTCAAAATATTCCATTTTCCAAGTATAAAATAAAAAATAAATGATACTCACCATTACTAAAAATTACTATAAAAATAGATATACTATGAAATAAAACCATAATTTTATTACTTTGATAAAATATTTCCTACACAATTTTTCATAAACTACCTCAAAAGAGCATCTTATGAAATATTTCTACAAAAAATATTCATTAAATTCTACCAGTACAGCTGCTATTTTTAACTTTATGAGGGAGGATGTTATTTTCTTTAATAACTTACTTTCATTCATATTGATAAACTCTTGATTGACCTCTTCATCTCCAGTCCTGTTGTTCTTTGACTTTTGAATGACGTGAGCTCGGTCATGAAGATGATGACCAACAGCCATTTTTTCTAGTCCACTGTCAGAATCTCTCAATGCTCTCCTAGTTTCCTTTATCTGTAAAAGTAAAAAAATAAATAAAAATTAGCTATTATTTAAATATATGTAGAGTGGATATAATTTGAAACTCCTTATGGCCTGTTTACCTATAGAGAAAAGATCATAAATTTACTATTCTAAAAATAATAGAAACTAATTTCTACTATCAACTTGTAAAATTTCTCTGATATTTCTTGAACTACTTGGAATTAATATACTTAGGACAAATAGAACCAATACAATTTAACCTTTTTCCAACTTGTAATCAAATATTATAATTAAATATAAAATTAAAAATTAAGAATAACTTAATTATATAAAACTTAGTGCCTTCAACATTGCCCTTGACAATGTAATGGATGAGAGTACACACTAGCATTCCTACAAGTAAAGGCAAGTAATTATTCAGCAGTCATGTTAGTGGGCTTGAATCCTTTGGCTTTCACTTATGAACTCTGTGGGTTATTAGAATATTTATGACAGCCAAAAACTATTAACATGGTTTGCTGTGGGACATCCACATTTATATTGTGTTTATATTTAAGATGCATGTCATTTATAGCAAAGTTAAAACTAAAATGTCTGAGATGAATTAGCTGTACTATTACAAAAGCATCATTACAAAGTATGCCTTATATGTAAAAACTAAAAAATGAACTACTCATACCCATTAGGCAAATTTAATTTTTTTTAAACTATAAGTACTAACAAGGAAGTGGAGAAATGGGAACTCTTATACCAGAGTTCGTGAAAAATAAGAAATACATAAATATTTATCAGTAGAAATACAGATTTAAAAGTTGTGGTATATTCATATTTTGGATACTATTAAGAAATTAAAGAAACCAAAGTTACACATATCAATTTAAATAAATCTTGGAAGCATATTACTGAGCAAAGTCAAATTGCAGAAGACACATGCAATATGAAACCGTTTATATAAAGTTTAGAAACCTGTAAAATAATTCATTATATTGTTTATGAAGCACATATATGTAATAAAATTGTAAAAATACGCATGACAATGATAACTTCCAGATACAGGAAAATGATTCTCTTTAGGGGAGGGAGAAAGGGAAAGGGGACCGAAGAGGGAGGAAAGCACTGGGAGCTTTAATTGCGTCTGCAAAGTTTTTCTGCTTAAAAAGAAAACAAAACAAGAGACAATTTAAAGCAAAGAGAGAAAAACGTTATGATTTAAAAAAATGTGGATATTTATTACATTATTCTCAATATCCTTTCTGTACACTTCAAAAATTATAAGTTAGAAAAAATTCATTTACTACAAATATAAATTACAGGTAGACGTTTGTTTCATGGAACAAAGTCTTCTTTTAGTGTCTGTCTATCTTGTCGACAATTAAAGGTAATAAACACCAACAGATGTTTACATGAAAAAAAGGCATCTGGGGCAGGGATCGGGGGTGGGGGAGACAAAAAATGTCTTAAGTAAATACCCTTAGCTTTATTGTTTTTCAAAGCGACATGGGCTTTCCCCCCACATCCCTGATGTATCAGATCAAATGTTAATAATTACATAGGTAATCTATCATTCCACAACCTTATAAAGCTCCAAGAATGCTTAGAAAATACTTACTCCTCCCGGAGCCTGTCGGGTTTGAGATGAGGCCTGGAAAACCTTTGGTGGTTCATCTCCAACTTTGGAATAAGTCATAACTGAGGAAGAAGTAAACGAATGTCCATTTGGATCCATTGAAAGGTGACCCTAGAGGTAAATATAAATTGTAAATCCAGAGAGTTTAGACAAATGTGAAGAATTAATGTCAGAGAATTCAAATAAATAACAATACTAGCCAGAAGTCCTAGTAAGGATACTATCGGTATGGTGTACCCAAACAGCACCCCATGAAGGTCTTAAGTTCCCTCCATTTTAGGCACCAATTCTCACTCTCCTTTGAGGACCAACAAGTGAGTCACTCGAAGATCCTTAATTCTTTGGAATCAAAGACTTACAACTCTGATTTAAATATAGATGCTGCGTGTGATACTTTTATAGTCAGTGGTTGATGCTTGTGTGCAATTTTGCCCATGTTAAGCCAGTTAGCCGTTCACCAAGAAGTTTTATATCTCTTGTATGGGTACCAGATTGCTATATTACTAAAATCATTCTGAAATGATCCTTAGATTCAAACTTAATTCCAAACATAAAAAATATGTATCTTCTTCATAGTGAATCAAGTTATTGTTTTGATGTTAATATTATGAGTAGAAAAGTATGAGTAGTAGTACTAGTTCACAAGTATTTGGATTATATGGATCTAATCCAGTGTCTAAACATCATCCCTGAAATTTCTATCTTCAGTATTTTTAAAATATTAAAACTTAATTTCTTAGTTACAATTACTTAGATACAATTACTTTTAAGTGGATAACATAAAATAATAAAAAATCTAAAATCATATAAAATGTTCATTTATAATAGTGATCTTCAGCAGAACAAATATTTTTGAGGTTGAATTATTTTGGTTTTGAAAGTCAATTAATGCTATTTTTTCAAACTTGTATGTTGTGAAATCAATTTGGTGGTTGTGACCAGCATTTTTAAAATAGAAAATAAACTAGAAAATATCAGCACACATTGTAAATAGTATGATCATTTTTCTCATGAAACTTTGTTTCAGGTATGTTTATACAGTACACAAGCATTGTGTACTGGATCATGATGTAAGATACTTTTTCAGTCACTGTGGACCACAGTTAAAAAAAAAGAGCTTGAAAGCCACTAATACAATAACTGAAAACAACGTTCTCATCAATTTTTTAGTACTTACAAAGTTTCTTTGTAATTCCTGCATACTGTTGCGCATATTCAACATCATTCGGTCCATTGCCTGAAAAGGGCTGACATCTGTACCCTGCAGGATATTAGGAAGTATGTTAATAACAACACAAAAGAAACAAATCAATCTTTCCAAAACGGCTGGATTTTTTTTTTTTCTCAATTTATGCCATGGAATCTCATGCAGTAATCGACCAGGCATATCTATACAAAATCCCAAACAGCCAACATATAAATGATTAGGGAGCTGTAACACTATAAACACGTGCATTACATAGGTGTGTGTTTGACACACACACACACACACATATATACATGCAAGAACATATACACAGACATATCGTTCGTCAACTTCCTCAAAGCATAATTTGGTTACTATTTAAATACTGAGCGATGTATTCTAGGCTGGGAGAGCTCTAGCATAGTCTGGTCTTCAAATCTTTCTCCCTCTACCTTAATATCCCACCACACAAATAAACTTGAGCATGAGATACCAGTGCCACCTCCACTAGTACCACATGGCTGATAGAAGCTGAGCCAGCCCTTCTCTTCATTACAATAGGGTCCAAGTGATAGAGGTTAATTTACTTTATTTATAAGCTGCTTATTATCATCAAAGGCTCAGTTGGGCATACTCTTGAAGCATGAGACATGTTCCATTAGGAGAACACTTAAGAATACCTCTACAACAGTGGTTTCTCAACCAAGAGCAATTGTAACTGGGAGTAGGGGGCGGTATATAAGGGGACACTCATTTTTATCATAATTGAGGAGGGTGTATGAGGACAGGAATACTGCTAAACACCCTACAAAGCATGGGATGGCCCCTCAGGACAAGAATTATCAGCCCAAAATATCAGTGTTGAGGCTGAGAAACTGCTTTAGAAAAATTTGCTATTGATTTTAGGTTTTATCAACACTAACTAGAAATTAAAAAGTGAAGCACCCAAGGCACTAGCTACTATTATAAAATAAAGAGAATGTCTGATTCACGCAACTCAAGCAGGAGGACTCTTTTGAATCCTGTAACGCACATTCGTTGCTGATATTTTAGCCCTTCTAGAAATTCTTTTGCTGCCTGCCAAGTTGGGACTCAATAAAGAATTATCAAAGGACTTTTCTTTTGTTTCTGCCCTCTGTTGAGTTTTTATTGCTAGTAACAATAGAACTAGATGGGAAACCCAAACTCCCATAATTTGGTTAATATTTAGAATGCACAATTAAAATAGGGATCACAAAGGCACATTTAGGAGATACTGATTTATCTTTGGGTACACAAAGGATTGCAATAGAATTAATCTGCATTTCAGAGATTCAGAAAATGTTCTGAATATTTTATTTCAACACCAGGGTGAGAATCAGGGCTGTATAGAGATATAACTCATAAGAGGTGGAAGGGGGCTAGCCCGAGGAAGAGGAAGAGAAGGAAAAGATCAAATGTTTGGGTATATTCTGCCTATTCTTAATTTACTGACAAACCAGCTATCAAAAGCTGTATGTGTACCTGTTATGAGGTGGTCCAGCACCTCGGGGTGACAAAAAATGGGGGTACAAATTACAGCTGAGATTCCAAAGGACTCTTAAAGGCCTTCAGGAACTTTGTACACATGCTCTTCTCTCCGCCTAGAATGTTTTCTCCCGACTCTTAGCATGGGTAGTTTTTTCTCATCATTCAAGTATCACCTCCTTAGGAAGGCCACTTGTCTAAACCAATCTCTGCTTTACCTCCTACCTGTCACTATATCAATACCCTGCTTCATCTTCTTCAGAGTATTTTGAAGTACTTGGGCTATTTGATTATTCTGTTGTTTACTGTCTGTCTTCCCACTCTATAAAAGTAATCCCTGTGACGGTAGGGCTATCTTCTCTGTCTTATTCACTACTATACTCCCGGTACTTTAAAAATAATTCCTGGCACGTAGGAGAGGGCTCAATAAATATTTGCTGAATGAATGAACAACCCTCTAACTCAGCTCAAAGCTATATATCCAACTATTTACCAGATAAATACACCTGGATAACATACAAATGCCTCAAACACAAAACATCCCAAACTGAAATGATCCTTTTGATCATCCCTGCCTTCATTATCTACACCGCATCAATGCTCTGTTCCTTAGCTCAGTGGCATTCCCATTTACCTAATTCCTCATGCCAGAAAAATGGGTAGGATACCTTCCATCTCTTTCTTTACTGCTCCTTCAATCCAATCAACCACCACATTCTATCTACTCAACTCTTTAACTCTTTGTCAAATGAAATTATTTCTCTTTATCACCCCAGCCATGACCCAAGTAGAAGCTATCATGAATTCTTCTCGCAACACTTCAACAGCCTCCTAGTCTCCCTGCCCTCACTCTGGTCCCTTCTAATCTTCTCTCCCCTACGGGCACATGATCTTTCGAAAATAAGAACCTGACTCTATTTCTAGTTTGATGAAAATTAACCAGCTGCTTCCCCTGCTCTTATGATAATGGTCCTTAGTCCTTACCAGGGCAGAAAGAAGTCCCTGGTTACCTCTTGACCCTCATCTATATCTACTCTCCAACTCATACTCTAGGGCCAAATGATCCTATATATATATATCTTTGTGCTCCCTAGCCTCCAGACCTTTGTGTGTACTGCTTCCTCTGTGTTGAACACTTTTCTCCCCTTCCTGTTTTTCCTGGCTAACTCCTATTAATCCTTAAGGTTCAGGAAGCATTCTCTAATCGATCTTCACCCCATTACCCCCAAAAGGCTGAGTTACAGGCTTTTTTCTATCTGTGCTTCCACAGCATGTTGAACTTCCTATCATTTACTGATAACTCCGTGCTATAACTGCTTTTTTTCTTCATCATTTGTCCCACTAAAAACCCTGGTCAGGAGGGATAAATGTTATAGGTCAAATTTTAAGGAGACAAATGGTTGAAGTCCGGCACAACAGAATAAAAGGAAACCTTTTCATGAGAGTGTAGGTGCATTCACAGGAAATGTACCAAAGCCATGCTATTCTCTGCTACTCCTCAGATTGTCTTTAAGTGTGTTAGAAACTAGTGTCACAGAAAATAGGACCCAAGTCCCCAAAAACAGGGTGGGAGAAAAGCTGGTTGCAGAGTAGGCAGACTTGGACATGGCAAAAGAAAAGCAGCACGAGCAAATTGGTAATTGAGACCTAGAGAAAGCAGCCAATCTTAGCTTTTCCAAAGGTGCTTGTCCATCTACAGTTTGGTGCTTTTTCACCTTTTGGAAAGTCATCGGAAGCATGTAGAAGTCTCCAACTTGCAATGACAACTATGGAGATCTCTTTTGTAAATCAAGTGAATGAATTCATCTATTGAGATGTACTTTTTCTTTCTGAAGACTGATTTTATACATGTTGACATGATTTACTTCAGAAAACACATGCCTAAACATTCTAAGATAAATTTAACACATGAAACAGGTTTTCAGTACAAATACTAAAAAGCCATAAAAGTAAGTGAGATTGCATGCTAAAATTCAGTTTGCTTGAGTTAATGAAAAATATTTTTCAGAAAATATTGCTAAAACGATTTGTGTCTCATGATACGAACCATAGCACCAAAATGGCCAAAAGGCACAAGAGAACTCATTGCCTGGAAAAAATCCAATTAATTTTGGTTATAATATTTATTATATGATAATGCCTGAAAAAGAAATACACTATATATACTCACATAATTCAGATCTAACAAAATTCCAGAACCTTTCATTCAAAAAGAACTCAACATATATTTTTAAAAATTATCTGATTATTCATTGTAGAGCCTGATGGGAGCCTGGCAGGCAAATCGGGAGGCCATATATCACTTTTAAATATGACTACTCTAGTATTTATGAGACACAGCTGAACGAAGAAGTATTTGCTATGGATTAAGACAAACGTTTCTCAAAGGAAATGCAAATTAACACCAAAATTAAAACATAATGTACAATGATTAATATTATATCTTCTTTCCTTTGCTCAGCCAGCCCGTTTTTAAAAGATCAGTTAATCTTGCCTGTAACCAATTAAAAATAAAAATTTATCCACATTAATAACATTTCAAAAGATTAGTAGAAATATTGGACAAAAAATTTAATAAATACCTCCTAAGAACTCATTTATGGGATAAAAAATATAGACTTCAGAATGGATCATACACATAGATTTAAAAATATTTAGAGTCTTTGACAGGCAAAAGAATATTAAGTATAATAGATGGAATAATCAAAATTAATAGTTCGTAAATCATAATCCTCAATAGGTAAAGATGGATAAAAATAAATGGTTAGACATGTGTATGCAAATTAAAACACTTTCATCATTTGAGAGTTTCAAATGTTGAAATTAAAGTTTGAACTCCTGGGTAAAAAGTATGTATAATTTTATCATCATTCAGTGACAGATAATTTTCTCCATGTGTAAGTTATGTTAAAAAGTAGAGAAAACTGTGTGCTTACATTAAAAATCACATAGCAGATGTGATATATATGCATACTGTGTATCTAGAACAGTAATCTCCAAAGTGTATTGGATGCACCAATAAAATTCTTCTTTCTATTTCTTTTTGCTGACTCTGGCACCATCATTCAATCTAAATGTCACCATGCTCATATGTCACATCTTGAATTACAAACTGCATAATTAAATAAATTTAAAGGTTAAATTGTGTAGTTTTAAACAAAACAAATCCTCCCCAAAAGGGCAACTGGCTTAACAATGGCCCCATAAAGAAATCATGAACTGAAAAAAACGCTAATAATACAAACGCAAAAAAATGGCATAGCTGATGTTTCTTCTACTTCTGCAGTAGTCTCTGTTTTCCTTCATAATATGGCTGATAAAGATGACAAATGTCAAGAAATGGACCAAAAATAAAGAAAAAAAGGGTCAAGGTGTCTATTTGAAATACACATTTTCATCCACTCTGCTTAAAAGTGTCAGCATCATGGCTCACTGCTTAATCAAAACATTCATTTTAAAACATAACTTCATGATGCAAGAGAGCAAAGCTTTGTATAAATGTTTACTAAAAGTTCAAAAACAGTAGGACAACTAGCATGCTCAAAAGCCTATTGTTTTCTTGGCTGGGCTCTTTTCAAATTTAGCAGTACTCTTTTCCATCTTCTGCAGTCAATTTCTAATTTTTGTTCTTACCTTAGCAAGTCAATTTGGGATAGAGATCTTCTGTTGCTATTGTGGTTTAACTGTTTTTGTTTTATTTTAATTAATTAAATTTTTCTATTACGTAAGTTTTTCATATTTAGACATAAACATTTCAAATGTGTCAAACATTATGGAAAAAAAGGAGAGCCATATCTTACCAGTATAAATTATAAATTTACAAACAAAAAAATGAGTTTTGGCTAAAAGAGAGGCTGAATATTCCTTGGAAAACCTGCTGTAACCGGTACTATTAAAATACTAAAAATTAAAATACTAGTGCCCTTCAAATGCCTTAGGACAATGCTTAATACTCTGGGTTGGCAAAAGGTTTATATAGTTTGAGGAAGAAAAAGGTACACTGGTGTTAGCTTTCTTAGATATTCGATACATTATAATTTAATTAAAGAAAAATGTATGCTACTTGTTTTTAGATGTGAGAGGCAAGCAAAAAGTACCTAGCAGTATTTGCTATTTAAAAAGCTATGGAACTCAAAGTTTTACGAAATGGGTTGATCTAAATCTGATAATTACCATTTACTTTTACATAATAGGTAGATGAATACTATAATTTTTCTCGGGAAAATGCTTAAAGAGATTACTATTAAATGAGAAATAAGATGACAGGTTCAAGTATAATTGATTAATGTTCTTTACTCAGTATGTATTAAAAAAATTTAAATGCTTTGGTGTCTTTTTGAATGTCTATCATCATGCCCTCCTATTAAAGTAGCCACTAGCCATATGTGGCTATTTAAATTAAATTTTGAAATAATTAAAATTAAATTAAAAACTCAGTTCCTCAATAGCATAAGCAATCAAGCCTTATGTAGCTAGTGGCTACCATATTGGACAGGCAGGTTTAGGACATTTCCATCATTCAGAAAGTTCTACTGGATAATGCTAGTTACAGACTTTGGCCTACACTAATAAATAATTCATAATCTTAGACAGAAGTTAGCTTATGCCACCATAAATTGGGCAAGGTAGCAATTCTTTTGATCTTTCATTCAAATGTTGGTCTTGGCCTTCCTTTATATTCAGAATTGTTTTCCTACTTGACTTTTCTTATTCAATCACGTTTAAGCAACCATATTATTGGAAATTTATCTCTTTATTCGGTTATATATTTCTTATTCCAGCTCATTAAACATTCAGATATTTTAAGCACAAGTGCCCAGGAGAGAAACATTTAATTCTACTTCTAGTGAATGACAAGCAGAGTTACAGCTGATATAAATAGACATCTTCAATAAAAACTTTACAACTGAATTATAAACAGATTTCCTTCCTATACTTATAAGGGGAAAAAATTGTCACTTCTTGCTTCTTTCACAAAAGCTATGTGCAACTAATTTATGCAGATAAATACAAGGCACTATATATAGCCCTACTCTTTCCATGTTGTGGTTATAAAAGATATACAAAATATTTCGATGCTCATTTAAAACACAAAATTTCAGATGTCGCATTTGATTTTTATACCTTCTTTGATAATTTTTTCTTTGATCTTAATTTTAGACTTTCATGGAAATATATATAAAAGGAGACCACTATTCACTAATTAAAATAAAATTGAAATGGG